GCCACTCCTCCATCCGGTTTCCCGTGTCGTTATTTCCTTTGGAGAGGGAGGCCTGTAGCGGTGGGAACGAGGGAGTTTAATTGGCCTTGCTGTGTCTTTGGAAGGGTGGATTTTGATGAGGTACATGCATGCTATTATTTCATACGCCTGTTTAGTTTCCACAGCAACATCACCTATGTTAGCCTTTGATTCGTGTCACTTTAGTATTTATGACCAGTTGGGAATTAAGACGAGGATGTTTCAACCATAACCGCGCTCAGTGAAATCGATCCCCAGTTCCAACCTTTTCATAATAAAGGTGCCATTTGAAGTTTTTACTCAATACTGGTGGCAAAAAACATTGATCCTTGGATTTAACTCCAAATGCTGAATGAAATTATTGCATTAACCATTTCAGAAGTGCAGTTACAGTCAAATGTAACCAGACAAATGAACTAACTGAGCAAGTTCAAAATATTCCACTTCTTTATTTTCAAAAACTCTGATTTTTGTAATTGTAAATGTACTGTGGAGATTAGAGAAGTATTTTGCTGCTATTGTTAATAATTATCCTCATTACCGTTGCATTAATAATACAGTCTGCAGTATTGATATTGTATTCAGATGTTTAAACATATTGGCACCCAATTAGCCTTTATTACAGGTGCAGTGATAACCACTTTAAACTGTTGAGTTGAATCTATAAGAAAGAGTATTTGCACAGAGTATACTCTGTGCAAAGTAGACAGGAAACTGCAAGCTTTTGAGCGTGTTTGTGAAAGTTACTTTGAGGAGCTGTTTGAATGATGCTATTTGAATAACCAGGTTATTCATTATTGTCTTTTATTCATTGATATTCTTTGATTAAGCTTTTAAGTTCTTGATTAAAACATTTATTCAACATATTACAGATATAGTTTCAGTTAGGTTATTATGCACATTGAATTGGCCTCTCTTCTCATAAGACAAAGTTCGTGTGAGGTCGAGCCACACACACACACACACACACCTGCACACACTGTAGGTAGGCTTATGTTAGGTGAGAGTTCAGATATATTTGCTTGCAACTGCATTTTTGTGCGTGCAGAATTGCTAGTTTGTTGCAGAGCATGGCCCGAGGTTTTGGAGAGGCGAGAGTCAGAAGATGGACAGGAAGCACCTGCCGTGGAGACGGAGACAATGTTCTTTTCAACCTGTGTTAAAAGTCACTGTGGTTTTGATTTGACGCATGCATGTATTGTATCTGATGACACATGAGGGGGCGTTAACCCTGATGAATCAAAAGCAATCTGAAGAGTGTTTTTGGGTGGAGATCTACAGCTGATGTTTTGCAGTGTACATCTCCCCACGCTGCGTGTGGTCATTAAAATCAATTGTTTGACCAAGCTCTTCTGGACCATGGTTGTTTTTACTCTCCTCCTCAATATTGAACCCTTAACAGTACACTGAAGACCCGTTATCCTTAATCTGAGCAGAAATGACACATGTAGGTCTGTACACGAATACATCTGGCTCCTCTCTTCTGCAACACCATCAATAATAAACACCAGTGACCCAGTGCCACTGGGAACCGTGCGTGCTCATAGATCACACTGCTTTGCCTCTGTCTCTTTTTTGTTTTATGGTTTGGATCACGAGCTATTCCAGTCCATGCTTCTTCTTTTTTCTAACCTTGGGGATGCTGTGATTGTCCAGCACTGTTGGTGGACATCCTTCCTTCTAACTTTGCTGAGCTCACCTAAAAATGTGCTAAAATATTTTTCAATGATTTTGATGAGAGTGTGATGTTCTCGCTGTCTTTCTGATGGATTTGATTAGTTTCTTAAGTGAAAGAATGGCCTTGCATTGAGAGGTTCCTCCACTGCTTTTTGTGTTTTCACAAAAACAAAGAGGTCCATTTAAAATAGTCCAGGTTTTTACACGTTTCTAATATGTAGAAACAAAGAGCAAAAGGCCACGCGTGTCCACACAGCAGCGTTCGACTGGACTGTTCAGTTGTATTTTAGGCTCTTAAAACTGGGAAGTAAGATTTCCTGTTAATTCCTTTAATGAAAATTTTCAGTTCAACCTCTCAGATTAAAGCTGAAAGTTTGCACTTTGGTCAAGCGTTCACATCCATCATGTAGTTAGATTGAAAATAGTGTTGGACACAGTGTCAGAGTCCAAAAATAGAAGAATTATGAACAGTGCAGTCGTTGCTACTGACAGTTACAAGAGTTAAGGGTTGCAATTATTCTGCAGTTTGTTTACGTCGTCCTCAGTTGCTCAGATTTTGCTTTGTCAGTACTTAAACATTGCTGAAAGACTGGTGAGGGCAGATAAAATATTCAGGACATCTGGTTTCATTAAATTTCTTAACATCTGGTTTGCGTCACAACTGTCAAAAGTTTGGGGAATTTCACTCATGCACAGTGAGAGGCAATTTAAATTAGCAGCGTGAGAGACAGAAAGGTGTTTCCAGGTTTTTCCAGGTGGCCCCAGCACTGAGGGGAAAGGAAAGCGGGAGATGAGCTCGAGGTGAGCGAGCCTTCAGACAGTGAACGATCAATGAACTCGGTAACAGAGCCTCGTGTGTAAATGTGTGCTATATGCATGCGTATTAACGTATTGTTTATCGAGTCTGCTTCGTTATATCTTTGAGCTAACGAGGCACCTTGCTGATGTCTCTTTGAGGGCTTGCACGTGCATGTGAGTGCGTCACATTTCAATCTGTCTGGCATCAGGATCAGGGCATAAAGTGGCTTCACCCTCGGGGGATGCCACCGCTACCTCTGCGTGTTTACCTCCTTTTCATTCAATAACTCAATCTGATACAAGACGTCAGGTCAACTAATGCTAACTAATTGGTTTGAATGAAGGGTGGTGGAAAATGCCATCAGCAAGGCAAATGAGTTTTAATTACAGCTTATAAGCAGATATAGCATATCTGTCAATCTCCAATTCACTCCACAAGCGGAGCAGAGAAGCAGTGGTTGGTTTGAATTTAAAGCAAAAGGAGAAGAAGTGAGAGAAAGAGAGGAATGGAAGAACTTGATATGGAAGAGAGAGGCTACCGTAAATTCTAAAAGGAGGGAATGAAGGCGTTTGGCCAACACATCAGAGCAGCACGGTTCAAACCAGAAGCAAATTCACTCCAAGTGAAACTCTGCTGCCCTCTAAAGGCTCCAGCTTGCAAAATACTGGCAGATTCGAAAGGCACCGTGTGTGCCGCAGGAGTGTGTGGCCACGCACACGATGGCGGTGCGTGCACGCGTGTGTCCCGATTGCTCGTAAAACCGTGAAGTCCTTTGAAGACGGACCAAGGGATTGGATGGGCTGTGGGTGCAGGGTCGGGTTACCAGGGGGTGGGGAAGGAGGAGAATGGTGATGATGTGAGGTGAGAAGCATGAAGGAGGGCCAGGGACAGCAACCAGGAAGAATGGATTAACACACTTGGATGAACCCTCCCTCCCATCCACACACACTTCAACACATACACGGGAAAGTCAGTGGCCTGCAGGTGAAGCCAGTTCAGTATCAACTGAAAATCCCACTTTCCCTCACATCATCACATACCTGAAAACGCAGCAGCGAATGGACCGCACAATGACATTTACAGCATGTGTGCAAAAGCCTTCATCATAAAAAGCGACTCGAGCCCAAAAAGCGAGATGCATTGATTTCTCTCAAATGTCACGAGTGAGTGTTGCAATAAAACGGTACAAAATTCCAGAGGATACATCTTTCAAAGTGAGCAGATAAACTTCAAAAGCACGGAAAAAATCCTTTTTTAGGGTAAATAAACAGCTGTCTGTGCCAACAGTCTCAGCGGGGTGATGCTACGAACAATGAAGTGCTGCATGAGCACAAAGCCGGTGCTCTTTAAACAGTGTTCTTATTGCAGGTTTTAAACATCCCATTTTGAAAAAGGTGATCAAAACTGAGTGAAATCCGATGACATTAGGAAAGCTGCTGCTGTGTCACTGTCAATCAAAGCAGGTGTAAACACATCACGCAGGCACGGGGCAGCAGCTTGGATGAGTTTTTGAGTGTTTAATGCTTGATAAAGTCAGCCTGTAATGTGTCACAGCAAAGGTTTGGGTGTAGTAGGTTTTACTGGTTACAGCTGTTTATCGGCACTCGGGTAAAAGTCAGAGTTCATCTGTTTGGACCAAAATTTCAGTGGTTCCCGGGAACGTAATGGCTGCCGAGCGGAAGGTTAAACGAATTTCATCGTGTTTGTGTTTCAAAAAATAATGACTTTTGCATTTTCTTCTCTTTCATAGCATTTTCTCTGCTGTAATTACCTTTGAGGGTGTCACTGGTGGACTGAATCTTACTTGGCATCTTTGTGTGTTTTCCACTGTGGCACAGCAAGCACAACAAATATTGGACCGCACCAAGTTGGAATGGATTCGTTCGTGCTGTGCGCCAATGTTTATACTCTATATTCCATAACATTTAATTAATCGAGCACTTCAGTGAAAAGAAATGACACGAGAGCATTCGAGGAGGAGAGAGACGCAACGCAGTGTTTTGATGATGTTCTGGAGATGCTGATTAACACCCTTTCAAAATCATAAGCTGCTATTTAGTTTTACGCTTTCTGATGTATTTATAATAAAGTGCAACATATCAGAGTTTAAAAGTGCTACGCCCCAGCACTTATTTCCTCTGCTGTCCCTTTTAACTCCCTGTACAGAGAAGGACAAAAGGCTTTTAAATCTCAGACCTTATCAGAATGAATTAAAACGTGAAAATACCACAGCCGCCACTCTCGGACTTTCCTGGTCACTGTGATGTGTAAAAAATGGATTAGCTTCATTTGTAAGGCAATTTCCTCCGAACGAGGAACAAGAAATGAAATGCCCCACTGCCGTGCGCGCACACACACGCACACACACGCACACTTCACATCTAGGGATGAAAAAATAAAAGGAGCTTCTGAATTACTGAATTATTTTTAGATGAGGCATGACTTTCCACAGCAGACAGTTTTGTAATCAATTGTAATTAGGTTCTCTGCTGCTTTTTTTTTGGGGGGGGGGGGGGGGTATTGGCTCTAAGATGTGTCAGACAACGGAGCAGCACAATATTGAACTGGGCTGTGAATCCATTATCAACATGCGCAGGGGCTGGAAATGTGACAAAACTGCAATCTGATTAGACAAATATCAAGACTGGTCTGAGCACACAGCGCATCAGTGACCTGAATACTCGGAGCTACATTTGGCTTCAAAAAGTTCTAACCTGGAATTTTACTGCCAGATCTTCACCCCATCATCATCATCATCATCATCATCATCATCATCATCGTTCTCTGACTTTGTTGCAATGACATGTTTAGTAAATCGCGTTTAATTTGACTTATTTTGACTGCCGCACAAGAACTAAACAAGCGAGCACAAGAAAAGTCGAATCTTTGCTTCCTTTTTGCAGTTTACTTAACTTTGAGGTCAAACACTAAGAGACAAAATGTTTTTTGTGGGGATTTTGGAACGCCGCCTCCACAACATGGAACAGGAGCAGAAAGAAATTTTTCAAAATAAACACTTTGCTGGACATTTTGTTCCAGCACTTTGTCTAAAGAGACGCTTTGTTTGAGCCAGGAATCTTCACTTCAGTGGAGTTACATCAACCAATTTTTAAAATGTTTTATTCTGTTTTTACAGACTGAGTGTGCTTATGTTGTTCATAGCTTCATTCATAGAACATTTTATTCCCAAGAACCTGGCACTTTTGCAAAACATTGATTTTTTTGGCTGGTTGTTACCTGCAGTTTGGGGTTTTTGGAGTAAGGCTGTAGCTTTACCCAGGAGCAAGAGTCTCTGCTTATCAGAAGGTCACTCGTTTGATCCTGGGATCCTCCAGCCTGCACGTAAAGACACCAAAAGACGTCTGTGGGAATGGGTAAATGCGCTTTGAGTGGTTGAAAAGTATGGTGAAAGCCTCATAATCCCAGTGTAAGCGCAACCCGTTAACCTTAAAAGAAAGTCTACCCAGAATCCTTTGTGTAAAACCTTTGACTCTAATATCAACAATCTGAAACCAGAGTTTTCATTCATTCTGATGCAGTTCTCTCCCAGGATCTGTTGGGGTAAAGCATGCATGCAGATTAGTCCACACTTACAGTTGTAATAATTAAACATACGCTGTCAGAAAATGTGTAAAACAAAAATAATTACCTTAATGCAAGTAATACGCTTTTAGGGCTTTACTGTGATATCTATTAGCTGTTGTTTTAACCCCACCGTCTCGTCTCCTCTTCAAACAATTAGAAGCCTTCAGATAGACTCGCAGCGTGAACCGACTCGTCCTCGAAACATCCTCCACTGACGAGGTTTGTATCATTTCATTTAGAGGCAACCCGGCGTGTGCGCAAATCAGGTTTCAGAGCTGTAGCTGCTCGCCACATGAGCAATTTGTCCTCTTACTCCAAGGGGAAATACCTGACTGAGTACTTTTAAAAAGTCATTACTGTAAGACATCATTTATAAAGTTCGTAATTAAAAGCTAGTGGACTTGGACTGCTGCGTGCACAGTGCCATTGGCCACTCCTGGGCAAAGGTGACTCAAAAAAAACCCTTAGCTTCCAGTGTCAGGTGTGGAGTATGTTGCTGTTGTTTCCGTGGCAACAGCCACTATTTCCTCTATTGGGAGACAGAGGGATGGTGCTGCGTCCCCACGCACATCTGTACACAGAGACGTATGCGTCTCCTACTGCCACAAATACCTCCAGAGACACTGTGTCTCAAGGGCATCCCTTAAACAACTGTCCTTTTTATGCTTCCTTATCCCCCCCAGCCCCCCCCACAACCGAACACCATCAATCTAGCCATTTACTTTAACTTTATTTCTCACTCCATTAGTTTCTAGGACACAGAGCAGCACAAAGAGAGAAAAGGGTGGGGTGGGGGCTGGAGGAGGAAGAGTGTGAAAAAAATGAAAAGAAAGTTTGGCTCCTTGGAGAGATAAAATGTAATTTCACAGTCAACTTACTGTGATATATTATTTCACAACAATGGGGTGTGGGCTGATATGAGCCCTGCTTGGCACCTGTACAGAGCACTTAGAACATCAGCGATGGTTCTCCGGAGACGCTGGTCATATGTAATTGTGTGTGTGTGTGTGTGTGTAGGCGTGGGCTAAATTATCCCCAAAAATCACCTGAATGGAGCTACCAGGAGGGTCCAGCCCACTGGGTTAAAGCGAGCACAGTCAACTGGAAAATATAAGCAGTTGTAACAAACGTGCAAAACAAATCTAATTTTTTTAGTGTTATTTAATATGAAATAATATTTCCAGCCTGTGATTTCATGTCGTTGTGTGTTGAGCTTTAGTGGGAATAAGCAGCAGGTGTAGATAAACCCAAGCGCGGGAAGAATAAGAGACAAAATCTATTTCTATCACATCCTTTGACATATTTGCAACACGACAGTTCAGCCAAATGAAAGAATCCAAACATCATTTATTCCAGTAGCTGCGCTCCCTCGTTGCTCGCACTTTACACAGAGTCTTATCCAAGAACATGTTACAGCAGTGATGGATGCCTCGTGCTTCATTAGCTGCAGTCTGTCCTGGGAATCACTTACACAATATCAAACAGCTTTGGCCAGAAATCTAATGAGGCAAACAGCAGATGGCGAGAGTTACGTCACGTGAGAAATGCTCTCATTTCAATTCAAAACATAATATCGACTAACATCCGCTCAGCGGTTCTTCTGGAGCTGCTGGTTTTTGAACATTTATTAAACACGCCAAGTATCGAGGACGGATTTAAATGAAATTCTCACAAATATATAATCGATTGAAACAGCAGAACAACAGAACGGGTGGGCGTGTCCCCATCGCTTAATCACAGTTTGCTGGCCTTCTGAAACTGGGACACGAAGCCGAGCACCTGATCTGACGCTGCGATGACCTTATTCTGAAGGTAACGCGCGCTGTTTTTAGACGTCTCGTTCAGGAAGTAACGATAGTTCACCATGATGCCGCAGGAGTTGGCCACACCCCTGGGGCTGGTGTCGGCACGCCAGTTGAGCCGCCACATTGTAGCGCCATTTTGCAGGTGGAAGTTAGCCACTGGATTGAGAGCATAGCCGCGCCGCTTCTCCCCGTACAGGTACCAGGCGCACAGACGCATCAGAACAGGCTCCAGGACTCCGCACAGTCTCTCTGAACGCATCCACTCGTTAGAGCTGAGGAGCTTGCGAAGGGAATCCACGGTCGGGGTCCCCGGGGTCGAATCGGTGGCATGTTGTATCTCCTTCCACTCTTCCTCAGAGAGCAGATCAAATGCACGGCCCTCCTTCCTGCACTGGCTGAGCAGGCCTTGAAGCCAAGCGGAGAAGCCTGGAATGGGTGACAGGCTGGAGAACTGGGCCATGACAGGGAACTCGCTCTGGAAGGCAGAAGAGAGGCACAGAGTTATACCCATGACCTATTTACATCCAGTCGAATTTCATTCATTCAAAAAGGCCTGTGCATGTCAGGCTGCAGCACTGTTTTTACAGTATGTACAATCATGTGCATTAATGCAGTAAAAGCCGTAAAATAGCCTCAACCTTTCCAAACAGGCGGAAAGAAGAAAAAAGATCATTTGAAAATCCAAACTGGGGATGCAAAGAGGAAACAGAGAGACCATGTACGAGGCAGCACAGATCTTATCTTTACTACAATGTAAAGGTCACCAGTTTTACAGCAGTGGAAAAAGGAGTGACGAACACTCACCTCAGCATCAAAACACCCACCAAAAGAAATGTTTGTTCCCAGGCAGCTGCTCGAGCCTTTAGCTCCTCAGAGAGGGACAGCACTGCAAATCAGCTCCTCTGCTTCATGATCCTGCCCTCCTGATGGAGATGGATGACCCTCTCTGTCCTTACCTCCCTCTTATTCCATCCACCTCCTCTGTCCCTTGCACCTTTAATACCTGTCCTTTTCTTTCAACAGCCGCCCCCGCGTGTCTCTGCCTCCTGTTGTCTGCCCACACACGAACCAGTCACCCACCCACTCACCCATCTCACAAGTCCTCTTCCACCCCACTACCTCTCTACTTTCACAAAAACGCTCCCCCTCCCCTCCCCGGCCCATCTTCGCGCTTCGGCGTCTAGGTTGATAAGTGACGGAGCAAATGTGGCAGGCAGAGAAGTGAAAGGCTGCCGATGAAAGTGTCAGACAAACCCTGGAGGGACACGTCGCTGTCTGTGTGCCTTGTTCTGCAACATTGTTTCTATTCCCTCCTTGATCTCGACCCCCTCGGCCCCTTTTACACTGAAAGCCAACCTTCTCACTCTCAGCGTCCTGCTGCCTTTGTACTTCTTTGCACTTCCTTATTCTAACCTCTACTTTTAACTACTGCCTGTTAGGAGTGGGCAGTGTTTACAGAACAGGAAGGTACCCGAATCAGGACAGAAACAGTAAGAAAGGAGGAAAAAGAAACTGGGAGGATAGAATATAGAAGAAAAGATGGAGCGGTGCCAGAACTACGCTCCAGGGTCCAATCTACAAAGACAAGCAGGGCGTCCTCTTTACCTTAAATCACCACGGTGACCTTTTCTTTTCCCCTCTGTCATCTATCAGTCATCAGAGCGCTCCCTCTGTGCTACGCCGCTCCTCTCTTCACCTTTACAAACGCTAAAGAAGCCAAGCTGAGAAACCTCTGCCACAGCTGGCTTTGAAGTAAAGCACTGCAGTCACTCGTCAGGGTCACGGGTACGATTCCCATTCATGGAAAACTGTCCAGAAGATTTCTTGAACCAAACAGAAAAATACATTGTGCCTCCCTGAAATATCATTCTATGTTAAAACCTTTTATAGCATGTTGGAAACACCGACTCTGGTCGAGGAACCGTGTGCAGATGAAACCAGTGCTTTCACGCTCTGCCCTGAACAGGCAAACACACGTTTGTGGTTTTTCTCCCTCGTTTCTGCCATGAAGCAAAAATTTCAATACACCAGAGTAAAGACTCCTCCTAGTTTTAGGAGACGACCTGACAAACCCTCACTCGGGCTTCTCTCCGCCGGCCCTCCGTAAGTTTTCAGAATTCATTTTGAGATTTTGCTTTGCACTTCTAAAACACATCTAGGTCTGGCCCTGAGCTACGTGGCAGAAATATTAACCCCATAAGAGCCCGTCTGCAGCTTTCAGCTCCTCAGTTAGAGCTTTTCTGGCTGTTTTAAGGCAGCGGCTTAAATCCAACCGTGCTTTTGCCACCAGGGCTACTCAGCTTTTTCATGACCTGCCTGAGGAGATAAGGAGTGCTGAATCTGTGCCTTCTTTTAAATCACTTTTAAATACATTTTGTAGAGACTTGGTTTATAAAGTATTTGGTATATGAAGCAGTTGATATTATCATGATGATAAATAAAATCCCTAAAGCTAAAGACAGCTAGAGCTAAAAGCTTAAGTTAGCTCAGGAGGGCAGTATGTATGTACTGATATTAAATTTTACTTAGTTAATTATAATTCTTGCTGTATACATTATTAAACAGCAAGATAAATAGCATAATTAGCCAATTGTGCCCCCCGCGACCCTGACAAGGATAAGCGGAAGGATGGATGGATGAAACGATATATTTTTAGACATAAGTTGTAACAGCCGCCGTTTTCCTTGTGAGTATTTATTACACGGCGTGCTGTGAAGTGGCTGTTTGGTCTCTCCAATGTAGAGGTCTGAGCATTCCTCGCTGCACTGTACAGCAAACACCACATTGTTAAGTCTGTGTTTTGGAGTTTTGTCTTTCGGGTGAACCAGTTTCTGTCTGAGTGTGTTGCTGGGTCTGAAATGCACAACACAGAAGAGCCACCTCCACAGGACAAGACTCAGCAGTCCATCTGCATCTAAAGGTCAAAGGTCACTCTTTCGAGGATGCCAATGTTCACATTTTGGACAGAGAGGACAGATGGTTTGAAAGAGGAGTGAAAGAAGCATCTATGTCCACTGTGAGCGACCATCTTTGAACAGAGGCGGGGCTTACGACACCAACTCTCTGCCATCTATAATCCAGTTTTGAGATCCCTTCCCAGACGCCTTAACGCCCACTCACATCCTGGGCCATCTGACCTCAGGAATTCGCATGATAAGGTGGGGCCAGGTTTCACAATGAACTCACCCGAAACTCTGGCTGATTGGGACCCACACCCAGTTTCACACCTTGGCTCAGGCGATTAGAGGATCATCAGGGGGTCCTTTTGTCCCTCTGTGGGGGGAAACTCCCACTAGGTTTATATCTGGGACTCTCCACCATTTGACCTTAGAACTGAAGAAGCTTCTCGGATGAGAGGTGAAACGTCTTCAAGCAACTTAAAGAAGTCCAGACGCTTTTCTTTGCAAGCTCCTTTGACTACGATGACCTGGATGACTGAGAACCTTCACAGACTTTATGTGGAAAATAAACAAGCGGATACGCGATGGTGTTACCGTCGTTGTTGCTAATGACAACGCATAAAAATCAGGCGCTTGTCTGTCTGTTATTGTTCAGTATGTTTATTAGAGTATAGGCAAGCAAAGATGTATACATCTATAGTAGTTCACTGCTATAAACATACAAGCAGTTATTTCCTCATTTAAACTGCCAGCTCTCTTCTTCAACGTTGCTTCGTTGCTCTGGAACGATTCCAAAGCTCAAGATCTTTAAGATTGCTTAGTGTGAGTCCCGTTCAGACCACTTTCACTTACACTTCTGCCACGGTGGCTGGACATCCTTCAGCGTGTCAAGTTTAGATTTTTCCTCCAGGAGGAGGGACTGTATCCGACTGCCAGGGTGGGTGCTGAGTCAAAAAAGCCCCCACACAGACCACACAGCCACCAATCTCAGCTCCCGTATATTACAGTAGAAGATCAGTAAGCAGTATCATTTTGCTAATCAACTTTCGTGTGCACAACCCTGTGAAGACCAAAAAACCACCTCCTGACCTGAAGGCCTGCATATCTGCTCGTATGCATGCGTGCAAATAGTCAGACCAGCACTTCCAGGTAGACATTTATAACTAATAGCAGCAGGAAAAGTGGTCAAGAGGAGATGAAAGGACAGAGACAGGTGTCTCACAACTGTTAAGCTACTTTCTCTTTGCAGATAGAAAGGAGACAGAAATCTGCATTAGGAGGCTGGAAGAGCTATAACAGCATAAGTCAGAGGAAGTGAAAGCGTCTGTGATGTACCGTTATTTATTTTGTTCCAGTTCCTGTTTCTTTCGTTTCTTCTGTTTCTTTACTTTATTAAAGTCTCATTTCTCTTACACGCCTTCACGAATGCAGAATCCGCATCTTTAAGGCTTCTACAAAACAATGCAATATAACGTCGGTGACGTGCGACACCCAAAGCCTTACTGCCGACGCAGAAAACACAAAACCATATCTGCGCTGCTCACTCAACTGTATGCTTCCATTAATAACAATGACAATAAGCAAACCACTTGCAGACATCAAAACAGTCACTTTGTATGGATAAATAAAATGAAAACACTTTAAACCTGATTTTCTTTTTTTATGAGGATACGCTATGAAAAGCTATTTCCCTGCTGTTGATGAGAGAAGCTTTTGATCTTCCATTCAGTGTTCCAATCGTTTAACAAGTGCGAGCTAGAGTGGTCCAACACAAAGAGCTCTTCTGTGCTTATTGAGAGGGATGGATGAGATGTTAGTACTGCCTGTCAGCTGAGTACTTCTCTCTTTATGTATACATGCATTCAGGCGCTATTGCAAGTGGGAGATTTATGATTCAGCACTAAGTAGAGCTGGGCGATAGAACGATAACGATATGTATCGCGATATAACTTT